TGACAGAAATTGACAAAACAAAACTTCAGCACTAGTGCACACCGATGCGCATCGGTGCCCAGAAAAAAAATTATTCGGCATCGATGCACAACCAGTGCCGATAAAATATCTTTTTGTAGGGGTTTGCTTCATTAATGGCAGAAATCAGCCGTTTGAAATATTTTTTGGTGCCGTCAGACAAATTGGAATATAATTTTTTACAGGAACATCTCTGATAAAAGTACAGTCGAAATTGTTTCTCGTAGTATTAGATCTTGCACTTGGATCATCATTATAACCAGGAAAGTCAAAGCACCGAAGAATTGTCTGACACGAATCTGAGAAATGACCATAAAAAAGCTGAACAAACACAAAAATATCTGCAGCCACCTGTGAATTTAGATTTTGAAATCTGATTTGGAGCTTCGAATTTGAAGGTAATGTACTTGATTCAGTGACCAGCGGATGGGATGGCGCTAGTAAATGGGAAAAAAGATGTAATTGTGCATGAACTTCGTGTTTAATGCATCTTTTACGTAATTAGATTTCCCTATGCTTAAATTTATTTCGAATGGATACTAACTGAATGAAATGAGATCTTTTCCGATATATTGAGGTGCACAGAAACTGTCACAAGCAAAACAGCTAAGTTCTTAACAACAGCATACCTTTGTCGTATAATCAACTTCGATTTTCGAAACGTCATTTTTGACGCGAAACATATCTCTCAAGGAATAATGCTAATGGTTAACTGTTGATGTTGCAGATGTCGTTGCTGCATATAGTTCTGTTGTGTTTGTGGTCAAAAATTATCGTTTCGAAACAGTTTACTCAATTTTATCAAAAAAAATCAGTTATCTATATAAAAAAGAACAGAGTTCACTTTTTCATGTTGCTACATTCTCATTTTGCACATGATGATCCTTTTGAGACCCTTTTGAAAACTTGATGTTATTATATATCTGTCGCTTATGACAGCTATCTGTTTCGGACGGCTAGCGGGAGACATACCGATTCTGAGAGATGTCGCTTCGCTGACGAAGTAGCTGATCGAACCTTATTGTTTCGAATGACCAAGTGGCGATTTCTAATAATATGTTAGTGACAGAAAAATAAAGTTCCATTCATACAGAGTGCTTTTTGTATTCAGCACACTCGATAACTGCGAACATTTTCTATTTTTAGCGAAATGAAACGTATTGTCGAAAGTTTTTAAGGAAATTTTGAAATTGATATTATTTTCCTGTAGAAATTTCTTTTCGCCATTTTATTCGAAAAATTTTTTTCATGATATCCTTTGTCAGAAATAGAAAATCTTTGAGATTATCGTGTATGCTGAATACAAAAAAAGCACTTTCCCGCGACTCTGCATGAACTTTATTTTTTTCTTCACGTTAATATGGTCCATATATCAAACAACCAGAACAAGCTGAAGTGGAAAATAATTCCGACAACTTCTACTTGCGGACGTCATCGATGCTGGCCTGATTTTCATTTCATCTTATTTTGGCTGTTTGAAATATGGATTTATGAAAAAGCGCCATTCGTCCTGGCTGAGTTCAAGTACTGTAGGTATAAGTTGCTATTAACCAGGGTCGTGGCGAGGGAGAAAAAGCTTACGAACTTTATATTTGTGAAATAAGAGTATTTTCTTTAAATAATAAACCCCATCTACCAGCAAACCGGGGTAAGAAGAGGTCAAACAAAAAATTTTGGCAGAAAAGCGATTTAACTACTAAGAAAAACAAGATTGAAGTCTCATAAAAATGTGAAATGAATTTCATTGAATGCGATCTAAAGTTAAGCATTGGAAATATCTTTATAGCTGCCTTTAGTCAATGCTGTAAAAGCGACACTTTAAAGCAAACCAAACGCTTATTTAATCCTTCATGAATTTCAGAATATTGATGAAAGGGATATTCTGACCTTTCATGGATTACCGAAAGACTCGCTCAACTACTTAGAGTTTTATACGTCCTCCAATTTTGTGGATATTTTCCTGTACAAAAGGTGTTTATCAACAAAATGAACTCGAAGGCGGCAAATTTTTCTTTACTCTAGATTTGTTAAGTAAAATTGAGTGGTTCTTCGAAATAATCTTAATGGTACAAGCAAATCATTTCTAATTGGTGAAAAACATCTAGAAACTGGAAAATGAACAAACGCAGTAGTTTCTAGTGTATTTGTTGACAAAACAAGCTCCTATAAGAAGTAGCCAGACAAAAAGTAAACATCATATGAACCGCAAAAATTCTATAACTAAAGCAAAGACAAAAAGAAATCGTGTACACGTTAAAAACTGACACAGAAAATGACTATTTTACGAAAAGCTGTTTTTGTGTTGTGGAACTTGAGCTGAGCAAAACTATAACATTCTGGATCACAACTGGTTTATTCAGCTAGAGAAGTATTTTTATACAAAGAAAGGTCGTTTGCAAGAAAGCAAGCTCTCGCGGAAGAATGAGATAAAATAGTATTTAGTATAGTAACATAAAATTAAGCGTCGACCGATTAAGAGCATGCTTTTTTAAGTGACTGTGAATCTTTCATATTGTAGAAACAGGTGAAGTAAAGTTATTCTTTTTACCATCAACATTGTATATAAAGGGTATTCATTGATAAATACACAAAACTATGATGAACAACTTCAGAATTTTGTTTTGAGAGTGCAGTTCAATTTATGATATTTCGGTTTTCCTATAATAAATTTATTTAGAGTTTTTTTATATTATTTGTCTATTAACGACGGGCGAATAATGTTATTATTGGAAAATAAACAAATTATGACCAAAAATAAATTCAGAATGAAAAAGATTTTTATTAGTAGGAGTGCAATTTAAATTAGAGTATTGATGCACGAAAGTAGATGACCGATTAACCAAATACTTTGCCGAAATTCAGATTTACAGTGAAAAAGCTGAGAAGAAATCCAGAAAAATTGGTGGAGATACGTCACGAGTACTTCACAAATAACGCATTTTTTTAAAAAAATTTACGTTGATTATAATGGTTTGTTCTTGTCATTTTTCCACTGAAAAATCAGTTAGCTCTAAGTAATAAAAATGTGAAAGCCAATACAGAATGTTTCTGGTATAGTCGATAGTCTATCTCATTCTATTAATAGTCATCCGAGATGGACTGTTGATCGACTTTACTATTGATATTATTTGCTTTCTTTTCAGATATATCTATGACCACATCAGAATCGTTATTTCTTGAAAACTCTCTTCGTCGTTTATCTCAGTTCATAAAAGAAGCTGAAAAATATGAACAACAAACAAAACAGCAGCAACAAGAAATAAAAATATCTTCACCAGTTAAAATTGTAAGAGAATATTTAGAAGAGAGTAATGAAATATCATCAATCGATGATACCGTTGAACAATTTCAAAATTTTGATGAATTTTTTGAAACAAAGAAACATTTATACAAAACATGGTCAATTTATGATGAAGATAATGAACAGTTTTTAAAAAATAAACAAAAATTATTTAAACAACTCAATACACAGGTATTTCATTTTCTCTTAGCTATTCATTAATTCTAGATTAAATCGGATAATACGTGATAGTCTATTTTTGAATAGATTGTCAAACAATGTAGAAAGTTACGCACCGTTAGAATAGATAATTTCCACTAAATTGAACAGATGAGATCAAAACAAATCAGTATGATACTAGTCATTATACATCATGGTACTAAAAGTGAGATCACTAGAATTTTTAAGTTTATCTTTTTTCTTCTTCTGTTTCTAGCGTTCAACTTCAGCCACATCCATATTTAGTACACAGCCTTCATACGATTCTGGTGTTGATGAGATGTCACCAGCTCTTGTTCCATATTCTTATGTCAATATGAAGAAGATTACATAATATAATATTAACCAAAATAAAAACAAAATTCAAGACTCACTAATCAAGGATAAATATTTGAACAATTTAGAGCAATTTAGTCAACATCAATCTTGAGTTTGTTTTTATGATATGCACGCTTTTACTTTTAAAACGTTAAACTTTGAGTGTATCATTTTTTTTGTTAGATTTCTTTTTTTTCATGTTTTGTAAATTCAACATTAGCTAGAAAATCTATTTTGCCAAATTTTTTTTCAAGACTACTATTCTCCTTTTTGTCCCGTGAAAAAAGTAAGATGTTCCTTCAATTTTGAAGAATACATACTCTTTCTATTGTTTTTTCATTGTTTAAAATTGCTCTCAGCATATAACTAACTTTTTTCTTTTGCTCATCCATTTTCTCTGAGTGTAAAATAAAGTTCATCTATTTCTGTGAAAAGTTACTACAATTTTTGTAAACTTCATTTATATATGAATAGTCCAACTAATGACTTTAAGAATATGAACTGCATTCATATCTCATATTGATTTGAGATAAAGATATTATAGCCATTCCTAACGAATGTATTTCTTCAAGTATTTTTGTAAGTTTTGTCCAATAGTTTTGAGATCTTTTACAAGTAAAATAAGTACTGAACAAGAAAGTCAACTAGCTAAATTATTTTATCTTTTGTCAAGTAATTGTCAAGCAATTACTCAAGTAATCCACGAGTATCTGTGAAAGGTCGAGCTAATAAATCAAGTGTCTGACAAGTCGTCTTATATACTTTAACAAGTAATTACCAAGTGCTTATCAAGTACTCACGGAAATTTATAAGTATATAATTATCCAGACGCAATTAGGACAATTATCATTGAATATATTATTCGTTTTGTTGTACTATTGCTCGAATAACAATATTCTCCATACATCTTGTTTCTTATGTTGTAGGCATTATTCAGCCATTTGACGTAACGGTCCACTTTTCGTCAGTCCGTAACGTTCCTTTGCATTTTGTTTGTTTTACCATTTTGTAACTATTGGTCATAGAAAAACGGGGAATCGATAGTTCGATAGACAAAAGTGTGCTCTGCAAAATAGGCGAACTTTATTCGACTTCTCATTCAATAACTAGGATGAAAACCCCGCCTGTCCCATCTTCAGTAGATGGCGTATCCCATGGGCCCCTTTTTCCCTCAGATTTATTCACCCAACCGGCGTAAAGCCCGCGGAGTGGTTTCTTTTTACAGAGCACACTTTTGTCTATCGAACTATCGATTCTCCATTTTTTTTAATGACCAATAATTACAAAATGGTAAAACAAACAAAATGCAAAAAAAACGTCACGCTCTGACGCTTCCCGTGGAATGGTCGTATTATTTACCTCTTTCAAAAATGATCTTAAAAATTTTTTTTTTGTTTGAAGTATGAAGTAAGCATTACATAAAAAAACGTGCTACTCGAGAAAAAATATAGATTTCCACTAATGCTTGTTTTGTCACGCACGAGTGAGTATATCAAAATCGCATTTGTCTCGAAGTTTGAACAGAAATCAGGTAATATTTTGAAAGAAAAATATTGGTACGTTAAACAGGTAATAATAGTAATGATAGTAATGCTCGTAATGAGTTAAATAGAAAAATCAATAACAATAAATTCATAGGTTTGTAGATGACCACACGCATATTCCACTAGGAAATATTTCTTTACTTGAAAACGATAAAAAAGAATAAAAGATTTTCTTGTCATTGAGTTTTTATTTTCTGGTCACTATACTAAATACGTGAACTTCATACAATCATTTATGATACTTCAAAATTAAGAAGGATCTGCTATTTTAATTAAAATGTTTTAAAAGCTGTTGGAATGGGTATCCTAAAAACAGGGTAGATGTCAAGAAATCAAAAGAGATCGAATATACTTATTTCTTTCACAATATTAAATAAGCGCTCAGCTTACACTAATATTGTGTATAACTCGATTTAGGCAAGATTCTAAAAAATTTCATTTGACTCAAACTTTCAGACATTGTTCTCATGCACTAACTTGTACACAATTCATTTTATTCTGTTATTAGTTAATTAAACTAGTTAATTTATAAAATTTATTCTAATTTTAGGCTTGTATTCAATTTAGATCAATACAATGTCTAGTTCAACCGATAAACGAGTTATTTTGGTTACAGGAGCTAACAAAGGCATTGGATTTGAACTTGTCAAAAAACTCAGCAATAATAAGGATGTAATTGTTCTTTTAGCAACTCGAGATTTCAAACAAGGTGAACATGCTGCTAAAAAACTTGGTGATTGTTCAAATATTCATTTATTACAGCTAGATACATCATCATCTCAGTCCATTCACCAAGCGGCAGAACAAATTCGAGATGCATACGGCTATTTGGATGTTTTAATTAATAATGCTGGTATTGCAAAACCAGACTATAATCTTCAAGCGGCTAGAACAACATTTGCAACAAATTATTTTGGAATTAAAACGCTTAATCGATATTTGATACCGTTAATGCGACCAAATGGACGTATTATTAATGTATCAAGTGTTATTGGATTATGGACACTCGACGGTTGTTCAGATGAATTAAAATCAAAATGGTTAAATCCAAATTTGACAGAAAGTGAATTAGATAAATTAATTGATCAGTTTTTTGCTTCTATTGAACGTTTAACAGAAGAATTAGATGGATATCCTACACAATATTCATTTCTTATTTATGGTATGTCGAAAGCCGCTCTAAACATGTTAACACGTATACAAGCAAATAATCTTACCAACGGTATTCTTATTCATGCTGTTTGTCCAGGATATTCTGATGCTAGTTTGAATCAAGATTTAGCTAATGAACATTCCCCTAGTTTAGGTGCTGATTCAATATTGTATGTTGTTGATCATATTGAAAATGAAAATGGAAAACTTTGGCAAGATGGAAAAAAGGTAGAATGGACGGCACCCTGTAAAGATGATTTCTTGGAGTTTATGAAAAATATGCAGGCTATACAGTATTAAAACATTTTCCTATCTTATCCAAATGTCTGTATTCTCTTGATAACACAAGAGTACATATAAAAATCTCCAATGACTGAACAGGTTCAGAGCTTCTGGTACAAGAACCAATAAACCTCATTTATTTACTATCGATAGTTCTAATAACATGACGAATTGAAGATTATGATCGTGTGTCTCAGGCTCAGAAAAAGTAAACATGATAATGTGCTGATGTCTTAAAAAATTCTGTCTTTTGTTTTTCATTTTGAAATATGAAGTAAATTGTTTTTGTTGATTAGCTATATTGTTGAATGAATCGATAAAAAATTTTTTATTATAAAATTTCACATAACAAATAACAAAAAGAAATCAATTTAATTTTGCAATATTGAAATAAACGAAAAACCTAATTCATTTTATAAAAAAAATCTAAACTTGTTAAAAATTTAATGGTTAGATTCGCGCTTAAGTAAACTCAGTTATGTAGTTTGTAACGTTTTAAGTTATTCAAAGAAGTTGAAATTGCATTTTATTTCGAATTATGTATCTTCGAATAATTATTGTACTGGTAAATGCTAAGGCTATTATTACCTATCAGGCGCACAAACATCAATCTAAAAGAGATACTAAAAGCGAATGTATCGTTATTGGTGCTCTAATTGAATGTGACGTATCGACTGACGATAGTGATACAGTATTCACATATGATGCAGCTATAACGGCTCGTTATAACGATATAAGAATTCGAATTGCATCATCAGTAAGAATTTTAGGCATTAATTTCAGATCTATTTTCAAGATGTTGCATTTATCTGTTTGTACGATATCTATAACGGCGTAATGAGTATGTAAAGATTAAGGAGTTTAAACGATTTTCTGACGGCAATATTACAAATCAGATTTTTCAGCAATCAGAAAACCGAATTTTTACCAACTTCAAAATTTTTTGGTGAGATATATCTATTTTCATCGAATCTTCAACTTCGAAACCTATCTTCTAACGAGATACGCCTATTCCCCCCACTCCTTCAGTTAAAATTGTAAAAGTAGCGAACTACTTTTAAACTCACGTCAGTAGTATAATTTTTAGCTATATATATGTTACAATGGAAATTAAAATACAGTAAATTTTGAAATCCCACTAGTGAAAATTAAAATTTCAATTTTCACCTGGGGGGGATTCTTGTCAGTGGAAATTGAAATTTTAAGTTTAACTAGTGAAGAATAAAAGTTTAGTGAGATTTTCAATTCCACTAGGGAAAAATAACTAACACTCAAATTTCAATCTCCACTACAGTGGAAATTAAAATTTGACTCACATCATACTGATAGTAAAAGAAATATCTTTTTTTTATTATAAATATTATTAGGCAACAAAACAATCACATAAATATTTTTTAAACAACATTAGGCATTTTAACACACTTTTATGGCGTGAATTTGTAAACGATTGCAATTGTAAACGGAACTGTACGACAAAAAGTTGTCCATGTCGAGCTAAAGGCGTGAAATGTTGTATAAAATATCACGCCACCAAAAAGTGTGTTCAAATCCCTAATGTTGTTTAAAAAATATTTATGTGATTGTTTTGTTGCCTAATAATATTCATAATAAAAAAAAGATATTTCTTTTACTATCAGTATGATGTGAGTCAAATTTTAATTTCCACTGTAGTGGAGATTGAAATTTGAGTGTTAGTTATTTTTCCCTAGTGAAATTTAAAATCTCACTAAACTTTTATTCTTCACTGGTTAAACTTAAAATTTCAATTTCCACTAACAAGAATCCAGGTGAAAAGTGAATTTTCATTTCCGCTGGTAGGATTTTAATATTCACTGTATTTTAATTTCCACTGTAACATATATATACATATATTTGAAAAGAGCTTGATCTTGACAAATTTTAATTGATAATATTTGTCTGCTAACTCTTCAACATGTACGTAAACTCATTACTTATAATACATGTCTACAAGAGCTATGAGTAACTTATGACCAAACCAGTTATATTACATGTGTAACTTCGACATCATACCTAGGTGATATATCGTGTATTTTCGACAACATTATTTACAACACCCCCTGTCTCGGTTTATCTTAACCCAACCGGAACAATCACATTCAATTTTCTGGGTCAAAGAAATCGGACAGTTTATTTTGATCATTTAGCTGTACCAAATTATCCGACAACTCTTACATTTATATCTTGTTTGAATACAACTCGTGTGTATATGCACAACGACAGTTTTGCAGATTTAAAAACTCAAATTATATTCAGCAATAATCCAACGCAAATACATTCATTTACAAATATTGGTACGTATATAAAACAGATATGTTTAGAAGTTGAACAAAACTTATTAGGCTTCTAGTTTGGTAAATTAAAAGTGTAAATCTCTGATTGTATAATACTTCATACAGTTATTTGTCATAGAAGATTCTTAAAGTACCATCCTTCGCTAGCATCTTGGACGTATTTCAAAAATAGTTGGGACATGATTTCGCTATGTACCAAGTTAGACGGCAAATGTTCAAGTCTAACTTAAACAAAAAAGTCTTACAAAAAAAAAGAAAAAGTTGAGGTCGAAAGATATCTTAAGAGTGTTTAAGTTAACGGAATTACCTAATGAATGTCCCAAAATAATTGTTCGTTTTTTGGGTTGCATATATCTGAGCCCACAAATATGATAAAATTTTCCTTCTTTGTTCAAAAATTTGTCATTTGATTCTCTACAAAAAACCTATTGAACATTTTTCTATATACCTTAAAGGTGAAAGAATATGGAGGAAATAATTGATTACTTCCTAATGACAACAGCGAGAAACAAGTTTATTTTGAGCACGTTTTCATGCATGAAAATGGAACGAAAATGTATTTTCTGATACTCAGGAGTGTTATCTTTCTTTTCGTGTATCATAGGTTCGTTTTAAACATGTTTTTCTGTTATAAACGGCGATTTTACTAAAAGTCACAAAAAAAGGGAACATTTGACTTCTTCGTCTTCGCGCAAGAAAAGAAATGGAGCTATTGAATTTTCTTTGTTCGGATTTTAGAGAAGAACTATTTTATCTTAAGTTAGAAAAAAAATCCAACATCATAAAGATTGTTTTTGACCGAATCATACAAATTTTGCTAAGTGTCTCAAAACTGTACTTGAAAAATGATAATTTGGTGCTAGGTCAATTCGTCGCAGGCCTTTTCGTTGCGGACATTTCGTCACAGTCATTTTGTCGCGGACATTTAGTTGCTGATCTTCTCGTCGCACAGATATTTAGTCGCATCACTTTTGTCGCACGATTTGTTTTAACATAGAAAAAAATTAAATCAAAGATATAGTTTGTGAGAAGAAACGATTTTATTATCAAGCTGCCATTATTCTTCTAATCAAAATTCATTATTGAATTAAGCACATAGTTTATTAGCAGAGCGGATTAAAGCATTTATTTCACTCTATTGTTTGTCCTTTTCATGTGATGCGATGAATTGTTCGACAAAAAAATTATGTTAAAACAAATCGTGCGACAAAAGTGATACGACTAAATGTCCGTGCGACTAAATGACCGCGACAAAATGTCCCTGATGAAAAGATCTGCGACGATTTGACTGATCACCGATAATTTTGGGCAAAATCGATACAAGAAAAAAGTTCTCCAATCGCTTGTAACTATGAAGAGTTTTAAATATAACCAGTACAGATCTGCACAGGCAATCTTTTTCTGCCAGTGTCCGTAGACTTTTCTGGGATGTTTGTCTGCACGCGTCAGTGAATTTTTTCGGCTGCCCTTGTCTGTCCGTGTCCGAGGATAAAAAATCTCTAGTGACAAAAATCATGTTTTAACCCCCGATATTTTCTTCTCTTCTATGTTTTGTATATCTTATACGAAAATTTTCTCCTCCGTATATCATGTTCTTTCATTGGCATATCTTTTTACTTCATTCACAAACAATCATATTAGGAATTTATTTGTTACATAAAAAGTTTTCAAAAATCCGTGTCCATTACAGAGAATGATTGCCTGTTTATGTCTGCCTGTGATCTTTTCAAGCCTACCCATGTCCGCGGCTACCGGTATTCCCGTGTCCGTGCAGTTCTCTAATAGTCACTTAAGACAACTTTTCAAGGGCTACAAAATGGCCATATTCTCTTTTTGCACTAATATAAAGGACTAGAATTGAAAAAACTGTTTTTAGAATTAGGAAGTGATCAAGGATGAAGCTTCGCAATATTTCCTCCATATTCTTTCATCTTATACAAGGTATACAGAGAAATGGTCAATAGATTTTTCGTAGAGAATTAAACGACATATTGTCTGAAAAAACAATGAAGACTTTACCATATGTATGGGCTCAGATGTACGCAACACAAAAAACGAGCAATCATTTTGGGACATTTGGTATAACGCTTTATGCAGTAAACACCTTCAACTTGACTAACTCTTAGCTGTTATATGTTGGAATTTTAGGAACGTTTTGCCCATTTTTGTTTAATCCGCATCCGCCCACCTCAGCCACATCAAATACTCCTATATCCATGAATCCAGTTATAATCATGGCAAGCACTAGCGCAAGATTTTCGACTATGACAATGAAAACAACAAAAGATAGGTAAAAGTCAATTGTTTTTCTTTCTTAGGCATTTCTTCTAAAAAATGATTTCTCCTTGATAGTATTTTTCAGTTTTGTATTTCCCATTTCTTATTTACTACTAAATTAATCGATTCATTATTTTCAGTACAACGGGAGCTGTTGCAATAACTACAGAAGTAACAACTATGTGAGTAATGAATACCAAAGCTCGTCATACAGTACAAAAGCTTTTCCAGAAACGGTTTAGTAAATAAGAATTGTACACGTTTTTTAGTAAGTCCACAAGTCCACCCGTTACTTCTGTACAAATGATCACAAGTGTTACCTCATCATTTCCAAGTACTACGATAGTCCAACTTTCTCCGAGCAATAGAACAGCGATCTCCCTTCTCCCTGTTACTTCAATTTCCACAAACACCATCCCTCCATTCCAATTAGTTGTGAATAGAACTATGATCACTTCAAGCAGTTTGATTAGTTCTCAAATATCTTCAAATCATCTGCTGCTAATAATTATTATCAATTCAGTGTTCATTGGCTTTTGTCTTTCCATATTAGGCACAATAACTCTTATACGATGTCGCACTCGTCTAAGACTAAAACGTGAACAACTCATTCACGATAGAGATGAAGATTCTAAATCTTTATCAACGATTCAATCGACTGAGTTCTCAACTAAACTATCATTGTAATACAGCTGATATGGCTGTTACGAAATTTAATTATGAATTACAAATAAGACAAAGATGTTTTATGATAAAGTATAAAGAGAACCAATGACTATAAAATTGTATCGTAGTATAGTAATTGTGTACATATTGGTTAAACTCTCTCATCATCTATGCAAATATGCCATTCCGAAATGAAAGATAAAAGCGATCAACGAAATAGAATAGAAGACGTTCATAGCCGATTGGAAAAAAATCTCGTACAGATACTAATATTAAACTTATATTTTTAGAAAAAATGAAAAAATTACAGAAAATATACTTTGATCAGTCGTCATAATATTTTTAAGTACGTGATTGAGTTCTTTTTTCTTTATTATCTACTTGCCCAATATCTTCATACCATAGTTGGGGGTTTGTTTCAATAAACCGTTTCATCATATCTTCACATTCTTTTGATTTCATATGTTCCAGTGCAACACCGTTATTTTTTAAATGTTGTTCATCGCCCTGAAATGTTTTGTTTTCACCAATAACCACCACTGGTATTCCATACAGTAACACCGCTCCACTGCACATTGCACAAGGTGACAATGTTGTGTATAACGTACAATCTCGGTAGAATGAGGCAGGTTTTCTACCTACATTTTCCAAACAATTCATTTCAGCATGATGAATGACACTACCAAGTTGGATACGTTGATTATGTCCGCGACCCACAATGCCTTCGACACTATGTACTAGAACACATCCAATAGGTATACCACCTTCATCAAGACTTTTACGTGCTTCACCAATCGCTTCTTGTAAACATTTTAGGTGAACGGTGGCATTTGTCAGACTCATAGAGGTCGAACGTGTTGATAATGTACGTCCACGAGGTGTTGAGCCAAACACAGGAGCATCACTGGCGGATTGTATTAATGCATTGGCCATGGTTTCAAAATTCAATAAAATAATCTTAAAAAATAGTCTAACAGAACTTTCAACCTTAAAATAACTCTTTCAGTCTTACAATAAGAAGTATGAAATTATTATGTTCATTTGCATTTTATATCAAGTATTTATTCAGTGTCTTTTATTTGCTTTGAGATATCATTTTAGTGAAAGCATGTATTCTAAAATCTCAACTCCTCAACCTACACCCCCTCACGTAGAAAGTTAATTGTTGACTCAAAAATATGCGAATGTGAATTGCGATCCACTCTTGACAAGAAAAAAGAAAATCTGAAGGATGACAACGTGTATCTGACATCGGGTCAATCATACTCAGGAAGTCCTATGTAGAAAAAAAGAATTCTTTTCTTGTATAAATGGTGCAAGTTTTTGGATAAAACAAAAATATTTTCAAACATCTTGTACGATAAACATTAGTTCGTCCGTTTTTAAAACACATTTCTTGACATATTTGCAATAAAGTATTGTGTTCTAACTTGTACAATGAAAAGCACTTAGGCCACGTTCACACTACAAATTTTTCAGAGTTAACTCCGAGTTAACTCCGAGTTAACTTCGAGAGCGTTCACACCTAAATCTTTAACACACCAATAAGATTTTGATATTTCCCCTAAAATTATGCTGCTTAGGTTGCAACTTGCTAACAGCCGGCCAGTTTGAATTTACGTGCTACATTTGACTTTCTAAGCTCAAACAGAAAAACTGAGTCGAAAATCAGATGTTTGTTTGCCTATAAAACCGGCGCTAACTCCCATGTCTAATGGATCCATATTATTGGTTACTGAGCTCAGTGTATGGTTGGAGAGTTAAAGTTAAATGATGTCCGAAACATCATTTAACTCAGAGTTAACTTTTTGACCAATCAGCTTCGTTTTTGCTCATTTAACTTTTATAGTGTGAACGTAGCCTTAGACTCTAACGATCATTCCCCATCCAAAAATTTTGTTAATGATTCGCTGCTGTCGGTGTTTATTTTAACCAAATTCTCTGTGAACTAGCTCCACAGCATGACTGGCGAATGAGTGATTCACAACTAGTTTAGTCAAAATGCTGCAACGTTAAATGAAATTTAAAAACTAAAAAATTGATAAAAAATTATTCAGGACACAATAACTTAAAAACTTTACAACTCGCGATAGAAACCATTATAAATCGTATATCATCAAATTTAGATAAAATTATTCTGTTCGTTTACTTACGTCTATTTGGCACAGCCCTGAATTAAATCATCAAAATACATTCTACCTTTCCTTAACACGTGATAGATGATACAAAATCACGTTTTTTCTCCTTTTGCAAAGATAATACTAAAAAAAAGAAGAGAACGAGATGGTGATTATTTTTACTGACTGACTTTACTGACCAAACTTAATTGGACTATCCAATGGTTATACCAATCAAATTTGGACAGTAAAGTCAGTCGGTCAGTGGAAATAGTCACCATCGAGACAGGAGCGCCCCGATACCTCGGAGGCAGCGGGAGGCGAGACGTGAAGTCAATTTCAGAGTAAATTTTTATGCTCTTAAAAATTAGAGTAAAACTAAAAGAAAAAAGATAAATATTCTAAGCTGTTTTCTTCTAACGCAAGACTGAATTTCCTTCTAACTCTATTTACTTCAACACAAAGCCTTATAATATAAAAATACATTTACTGAAGCCATGATACAGTCTATTCTACTTATCTTATCTTATTTATGTACAGATAAGATTCAATTTTACTCAAGGGCAGGATATCACAAAAAAGAACAAAAGACTTGTGGCATCCGTGGATACCCTGTGATAATCTAAATATAAAAATATAAATAAGTAAATAAAATAAAATTATTAAAAGCCTGTGTAATCAATCTCTCAGTATATTTTTAAATGTGGCTAAAAAAGTTTGACAGGCTATAGCAGAAGATAGTTCATTCCAATCTTTGGATGTTAGCGAAAGAAAAGAGCTAGATGCAGATTTTGACATTAAACGAGAAATAGACATGCAACTATCACGGCCTAATCGGGAACTTTGACGCGTTGTTAACTGTGAAATCAGATCGAAAGAGGAGAGAGGACTTTTATGATTGAAAATTTTATCGAAATAGAGAAGCATAAAAGTCCTCTAGCAATAATATAGATGTCTGTTTGAAAGTGGTTGAATTTTAAATTGTTTGAGTAGAGAAGAACGACTAAAATCTTGTGAAATGATCCTACTAACAAGGCGCTGAATTTTATCCAAAATTTCAAGATGAGAAGTAAAAGTGGAATCGTAGATAACACAACCGTATTCAAGCACGATTCTTACACAAGTTTTATAAAAATGACAACGAAGAAATGAAGGCGAGTCACGAAAGACTCTTGAGATAGAACCTAACATTTGACGGAATTTCATTGACACATATTCAATGTGAGCCTTCCACATTAAATTATATGAAATAATCATGCCAAGAAGCTTTAGAGACGAAACTCTTTCTATATCAACGTTGTTTATTGAAAGAGTGAGTGAAGGAAGCGTTTTAGTAGAGTTTGAAAACAAAAAACCAGAGACATTTATTTATGTTTAATTTGACCTCATTTATATGACACCAGAGAACAAACTCACTGATACATTTCTGAGCCTCGAATATGTTTGTAACACAGAAGACATCGTCAGCAAACGGACAAGAAAGAAGGGAAGATTTGAGAAATGGTGCAAGATCATTTATAATTAGATTTATCTAGGCATGCACCAATACAATATATTGGGTCCCAATAATATTGGTCACCCAATCTATTGGAACCAATAATATTGGTCACCCAATCTATTGGAACCAATAATATTGGTCACCCAATCTATTGGAACCAA